ATGGACATTTAGGCTGGTTCCAACTCTTGGCTATTGTAAACAGAGCTGTGATAAACATGGGACTGCAGGTGTCCCTTCAACATGATGATTTCCATTCCTTTGGTTATATACCCAGCAGTAGGATTGCTGGATATATGTCAGTTCTATCTGTAGTTGTTTGAGAAACTTCCACTGTTTTCCATAGTGGCTGTACTAATTTACAGTCCCACCAACAGTGCAGCAGAATTCTCCTTTCTCTGCATTCTTGACAGCATGTATTATTCTCTGTCTTTTTGATAATGGCCAGTCTAACTGGGGTGAGGTGATGTCTCACAAAAGACAAAGTCAAACTGTTCCTGTTTGCAGATGACATAATCTTATTTGTAGAAAAACCTAAAGACTCTATACAAAAAACTCTTAGAGCTGATAAATAATTTCAGTATACTACAAGATACAAAATCAACACCCAAAGATCAGTAGTGTTTTTATTCTCAGTAACAAACTAGCAGAAAAAGAAATCAAGAAAGCAAGCCCATTTACAATAGTCACCAAAAAAATAAAGCATCTAGGAATAAATTTAACCAAGGAGATGAAAGATCTCTGCAACAAGAGCTACAAATCACTACTGAAAGAAATTAAAGAGAATACAAAAAGATGGAAAGACATTCCATGCTCTTGGACTGGAAGAATTAGCATGGTGAAAATGTCCATACTACCCAAAGCCATCTACAGGGCAAACAGTCTGCAGCCAGGAGACTGTTTGAATCTACAGATTCAATGCAATCCCCATCAAAATACCAATGACATTCTTCACAGAAATAGAAAAAACAATCCTCAAATTCATATGGAGAAATAAAACACCCCAAATAGCCAAAGCAATCCTGAGCAAAAAAATATAAAACCAGAGGCATAACACTACCCAACTTCAAATTATACTACAAAGCCATAGTAACCAAAACAGCATGGTACTGGCATAAAACAGACACTCAGACCAATGGAACAGAATAGAGAACCCAGGAATCAACCCATATTTCTACAGCCAACTGATCTTTGACAAAGTCAACAAGAGCATATATTGGGAAAAAGGCTGCCTCTTCAATAAACAGTGCTAGGTAAACTGGCCATCCATATGTAGAAGAATGAAGCTAGACCCATAGCTCTTGCCATATAACAAAATCAACACAAAATGGATTAAAGACTTAAATACAAGACCTGAAACTAAAAAACTCTTAAAAGAAAACATAAGGGAAACACTTCAGGAAGCAGGACTGGACAAAGACTTTATGAATAACACCCCAAAAGCACAAGCAACAAAAGAAAAATAAACAAATGGGATTGTATCAAGCTAAAAAGCTTCTGCCACCAAAAGAAACAGAGTGAAAAGACAAGCTACAGAATGGGAGAACATATTTGCAAACTATGCATCTGACAAGGGACTAATATCTAGAATATGCAAAGAACTCAACTTAACAGTAAAAAAAAAAAATAGTAACCCAATTAAAAAACGGATGGAGTTGAATAGGCATTTCTGAAAGGAAGATATACAAATGGTCAACAGACACATGAGAAAGTGCTAACCATCACTCATCATCAGGGAAATTTTCCTTTTTGTAATGACTCTAGTCACATTGGATAGGGACTCATCCTACTTCAGTATGACCTCATCCTAACTAATTACATCTGTAATGACCCTATTTCCAAATAAGGTCACATTCTAAGGTATTGGGGGTTAGGACTCCAACATACAAATTCTGGGGATACACAATTCAGCTCATAGCATAGCCCTTATCCCCTCTCTGGAATGATCTGGTTTTATTTGTCAACCTTACTGTCTTGTCTCTCCTCACCAAATGTCAGCTCCATGAGAGCAGTACCTTGGTCATCTTATTTACCACAGCCACCAATGCATACAGCTGAGCTGGTACAGAGACGATGCCGTGTATATTTTCTTGAGTAAATGGACTAAAACTAAAGCAACAAACCAATTTTCTGAATAAGGACACTCAAGCCACAATAGCTAAGTGTCTATTCAGTTGTTAAAAATTATGTTTCTATAATTATTAATGTAGAGAAACATTGAAATACATTGTTAGGCAAAACAAGAAAGTTTCAAGTCAGAATAAAGGGTATAATTCCATTTTACAAAATACGCACACACACATACATCCATACAAATAGGTGTATGTACATACTTATATAGAAAAGGGTCTGAAAGAATATAAATCAGGTGTTAATGATAGGTTGTTGTTAACTGGGTAGTATTTTATTTATTCGTGTGTTTTTATTCTTCATATTGTCTGATTTTTCTGCAATAGACATGCTATAATTTTGAAATAAGAAAAATAATTTTAAAAAGCTTTTCAGGAAAAAAAAATTCACTTGCAATATGATTTGCTGTCTAGATTGCAAGCTGCATGACAGCAGGAACCACGTACAAGCCTAACACCATGCTTGGCTCATAAAGATGCTCAATATATGCTGGCTGAGTTGGAATTAAATGGATACGTACATTCATTTTATCACAAGACCTTAACCAAAGCAGTTGTTCTAGCGGCCTTCCAGGTATCCATGTGGTATGTTTTCTCAATCTGGAAATCTTACAAAAAGAGGAGGAGGAGGAAGAGGAGGAAGGGAAGAAGGAGGAATATAGACACTAAGCTTTTAAATATCTCTGGTACTGTCCAACTGTAGTGACATTTAAGGCATTGTCAAGAATGAAAATACAGCATGAAGCAACACTGTCAGCTCTAGGAAGAAATCAAACCAGAAGGGCTGTTACCCAACCTCTGTGAACCAAACTGCCACATTTCACCTGATTCTTCTAATTAGTGTTTGCAAAGCCTTTAGAAGCAGACAAGTGCTACATTAAGTGTTAAGTAGTATTAATTAATAATATTAGATTGTGTAGGCAGGTAATTATTAAAGTAAATGTCCTAGGCTTGTCAGTACAGTGCTTGGAATCAATGTTTGGCTATACCTCAAAATTCTTTATGGAATTTTGTAAAGCTCTGGCTTCTAAAGAAAGTAGTTTCATATAATAGTTGCAATTTCTAATTTGACAAAACTTTAGAAATCTCCTAACACCATAGTTCTCAACCGTATCAGACCCAACACTCCTTTTTATAAGTATTTTGCCACACTCCTCTTTAATATCTTGAAGCAAAATTCATGGATAACCTACCTATATACAGCATATTTCAATATGTAAGTGCTCGGGCATGTCCAAATGAAGTTGTCAGATGCTTGCACTGCACGAAGACTCACTGCAAATCTGCCAGTGACAACTGGAAGGTTGTTATATGCTGCTGTGAGAGAGATGCAGTACCGTGGGTAGCACTGGTTTTCTGAAATGGTGAACAACTCCTCTTAAATTCCACACTCAACAAACTACAGTCTTCCTTTGATACATTCTATACTTGCTTTCCTGGAAAAGTCAATGTATTTGTATATTAAGATCATTCAAAATATATCCTGTGTTTATATGTAAAACAGATTTAGGTTCTAGGCTCAGATCATCATAACCAGGATTTTCATCTATAGAAATGTTGGGCAATGTATTTAAAAGGTGTGTGACACCTTCTTATGCAATTAGTGTCTCAGATGCCCTCTCCAAATGCTAAGGCACTCACTACCACCCAAATCTTTGAAAGCGAAAAAATGTCCGAAACATTTTCCATGTCATTTGAAAGACAAATTCCAAAACAACCCATGGGGTGGGTGGCACAGCCCCACTTGAGAATCATGGATCTAATTTTACATCCTTATGTAAAAAATGAGAATATTACCAAAGACTACACACAAGAATCACAGGTCAAGTCTTGGCAGAGCCAAGTAAGAAGTAGTCAGCACTGAGACAGAGGAGCGTTTTCCATGTGTCAGGCATTGTCTTAAGCTCCTAACGTACATATGCTCATCTAATCTTCACATCAACAGTAGGAGGGACACTTTATTATCTCATTGGACAGTTGAGACTGAAGCACAGAGAAGTGGAGTAACTAAGCCAAGGTCCCAGAGAAGTAAGTGGCAGAGCCCTGACTCAGGCCAACCTCTTCAGGCTGACTGTATAACACAGTGCAAGCTGCAGACAGTTATCTAAGACTGGAGGGGAACACCAAGGGGAAACGGAACCCTCCCATGTTGTGAGCACACAGGATAGACCAGTTCTACCAGTTGAGGACACGGGCCAGAAGCCTCCGAGTCATAGCCATGGTTGTTTCCCACTTGGTCTCATCTTCTCCTTCTTGTATTTTTCCTGCAGATATTCATGTCCAGGAGAAGACTGCTTTGGGTCCCTTTGGACCTTTCCTAAAAGGGGGATCCTTGTTCACTAGATGAGTTCCAGAACCATCCACTAAGTCTCCTGTAGCCCTCTCGCATCAACTGACCTTCACTGCAGTCCCTGTCACTCAAGATGAGTGGCTTCCTCGCCTCCCTGGACCCCCGGCGGGTGCAGTGGGGGGCTGCCTGGTATGCCATGCACTCCAGGATCCTGCGCACCAAGCCAGTGGAGTCCATGCTGGAGGGAACAGGGCCCACCACGGCGCATGACACCAAGCTAGCCCAGGTGCTCACCACTGTGGACCTCATCTCCCTCGGCGTCGGCAGCTGTGTGGGCACTGGCATGTACGTGGTGTCTGGCCTGGTGGCCAAGGAAATGGCAGGACCTGGTGTCATTGTGTCCTTCATCATTGCAGCCGTCGCCTCCATATTATCAGGTAAGTGTCTCAGTGCAGGCAAGTCCTGTGGAACATGTGCGTTCTGGCCTGGTCACTGCTCATCCACTTTTCTAGGGTATTTAGTGGTGACATGTATCAAATGGCAGAGAAGTGGTTCCTCCTGCTCCCTTTTTGCCTTGACTGCCAGGGAGATCGGGGCTGGGTTTTGTAGCAGCTTCCCTTTTCTTTGGTTTCTCAATACAAGTAATTATTCTGGTGCCCAGACATCACCCAACTTCTCATCCCCTGTCACATTCTAATGGCTCTATTTTTATTTTAACTCTCCCTTTCACTGGAAGATCGGTCAATCCCTTTGGGGGAGAGGAGAAAAGATATAACTAAGATATAAACAATAAACAAAGGATAGGCAGAGTAGCAAAATGACAAGTCAATAAATCTGATATGTTTTGGAATTTGATAAGCCCCAGACTGGCATTGTGCCCACCAAGGAGAAGGAAACCAAGCTAGGAGATTTAAAGCCATTGTGAGAATCACAAAACACCACCTGCCACAAGCACCTCAACAGATTGATGTTCTACAGATGTATGTCAACTAGCTCCTTCTCTCCCCTTGAGAAAGAGTCATAAAATTCATTTTGTAAAAAATAAGGTGCCAGGACTTACATGCTGATAATTTGTGCAATGGCTCTTCTGTTGCCTTCTCTTCCCTCCTCTTCTCTTGAGTTGCAATCCACAGTCTCTTCTCAGAAGGCTAGGAGTAGCTCATTGGACAACCTGAAAAAGAAGGAAAAGGAAAACTTCCTGCTTCTTGATGGTTACACTGCAAAAGCTTGAAGCTTTGCTTGGTTTGTGGATGGCAGATCATGTGGGTCAACCCACGTACTAGCAGCGAATGTCTTGGTCTCTTCAAATGTTTCAGGAGAAGTAGGAATTCTTACTTACCTTGGGAGCCCTATGTACTGGTGCATACCATCACAAGAAAAGCAATGCATTAATATCATACATCCGTATTCAGTAGTCTTCATCCATGGGGGATACAAAGGCAGACTACAGACATGCAACCAGAAGTGTGGTGGTTTGTATTTGACATCTTTTTAATTTGATGAGGGAAATATTTCCAGACTGAGTTTGTTAATCTCCTGTCATGACTTGTCTTCCCTGTTGGTTTTACCCCTATTTCCTTTTCCTGAAGACACTCTCTCATATGCCCAAATATCCTAATAATTAAGGTTTTTGCAGAACAGAGGATTTTTCTCCCTTGTAGATGAAGATAAATTATCTACATGGGTGCATTTTGTGGGTATTTGAAATTCTATAAACCTGATTATAATTATTTCCAAACTTTTTTGATAAGGAAATTTACTCATCATAAACTTATAGATCTAAATGTGTTGTCATACAGAACTGAATAGCAATATAGGGCAAAAGGCAGACATATAACCAGGGGGCCCCACAGAGGACACAGGGCAGATGTGTAAAGGTTGTGCCCAGTTAATAAAGGCTACACAATCTGCTGTAGATCCCATCCTACTTTGACCCCATCCCCCGACCACAATGATTCCTGTGGATTAATCACCTGCGTCTTACCCTTCACAATGCTGTCTTGCATTACAGGGCAGATGTGTAAAGGTCGTGCCCAGTTAATAAAGGCTACACAATCTGCTGTAGATCCCATCCTACTTTGACCCCATCCCCTAGACCACAATGATTCCTGTGGATTAATCACCTGCGTCTTACCCTTCACAATGCTGTCTTGCATATAGAACAGTATAAGGCACAGTTGCATTCTGGCAGCCTAACCCCTGCCACAGTGCTCATGGCACTATATAACCTACACTTTTCCACCACACAAATGGAGAGCCCCAGAATGGCCCAGCCAGTGCTATGCTGGAGCCAGCTTGCACCAACCACCAAGAGTCCTGCGTGTGCACACCTCTTTCCAGCTTTACATTCAGGGATGTCATGTTGTTAACTTGAGACCAGCTACAGTGGGACTACGTGTTTGTCACTGTTGTTTTTCAGAGAGTTAGTTGTTGAACATTTACCAGTACATCACTGGCCTACCTCCATCAAAGACCCTGGTACTGCCCAGCAACTGCTGCCTTTGTCACTGCACCAGGCACCAGAAGAAAAACCCTGCCTTTCCCCTAATCTGGATTCCCCTCGGTACATATGGCCCCATCCGTAACACTTCTCTACACTTTGTGACTGACTCATCTACCGGCCAGGATGCCCCTAGAGCCCCCAACCAAGGTCAGGACCAAAATAACTTATGCCGATGTTAGCATCTTTTTTTAGCAGGTTTCTTCAGCCAGGCCTCTCCCTCCTGTGATCCTTGGTCACTAAACTAAAGGAAAGGCCCCTTCCACCGTCTTTTTTCCACTTCCATATCATCATCTCCATATTGCCTCTCCCTTGACCGAACTTCCCACTGCTTCTCTGTGTCACAGTAATGAGACTCTGTTATATCTTCACCCTTTTTAATACATGGTTCTTTTCTACTTCTGGTCTTAATTAAAACCTGGCTCACCTGAAGGTGAGTCCAGTCTCCACAGTCGAGTATTTATCTCCAGCAACAGCTGCTGCTTGGTTACAAGAGTGGAGTAAAGAGAGAATTGGGGTTAACTAGATTTAGCTTCTTCCAAGCAAAGAGAGAAAATAGCAGTGGGGTTAAGGGTGCTTGCAAAGGAAGAGAAAACCTGCTGAACAACACAATCTAGGCTGAATAAGGAGGGGAGCAAAACATGAGAGTGATGATGATTGATGAACAGTGGTAGGATCGGTGCTGTTAGGGATTTCGATGAGGTCAGGAAATCATTGGGATAAAAATACCAAGAAAGTGAAATAGAAGGCTAGGAAGTGACCATTGGAGAATGAGATGTTTGAAATATACATTTCAGAAATGATACAGTAATGTTCAGTTTAGACGGGAGCCTGCTTCACCCACTGACTCGCTGTGAGACTGCGAGCAAGCACCATAACTTCTCTGAGCCTCAGTTTCTCCACTTTGAAAATAATACCTACTCCATAGAATTGTGGTGAGATGCCTATAAAGTGCCTGATACAATGCTCAGCACATACCACTAAATAAACTGTTATTATTATTTTGTGCCAGACCCTATATCGGGTGCTTGCTATACAGTATAACATTTAAAACTCTCAAAGCACTAAATAAACTGTTAGTATTTTATGCCAGACCCTATATCGGGTGCTTGCTATACAGTATAACATTTAAAACTCTCAAAAATCTCTTCAAGGTAGGTTTTATTTTCCCGCATTTTACATATGTGGAAACTGAAGTGTAAATAACAGAGCCTAGATTCAAATCTGTTATGCCAACAATATCTCTTAACCCTGACTGAATTTAAACCACTTGGGAACTTTTTTCCTGGAATAATGAATTTTGAGGGCCAGTTATATTGAGTTATAATTACATATAGTAAAATTCATCCTTTTTAATTGTATACTTCTATGAGATTTGACGAATACTTACAGTCATGTAAACTTTACCCCAATCAAGATACAGACAAGTCCTATCACTCCCCAAATCATTCCATTATACTGCTTCTGTAGTCTCCCCTCCTCCCACCCCCAGTCCCTGGCCACCTCTGATTTGTTTTCCAGAATGTCATATGAAGGGAGTCATTTAGTATATAACCTTTTGAGTTTGCTCTCCTTCGCTTAGTAAGTTGTGGGTTTTTTGTTTGTTTGTCTGTTTGTTTAAGTTCCCCAGGGAATTCTAATGCGCAGCCAGGGTTGAGAACTGCTATGTTACAGGAACTAGAACCTACCTTCTGCCCCAGCCATGACCCATGCCAAGAGGAAACATATGTTAAAATGGAAACTCTTTGGACAGCAGAATCTTAAGAGATTTTCTTGGCCTTGTGGCATCACCCCCCACGCTGTGCAAACCAGCTTATAACATGAAACAGATTTGACAGAGAGAGAGAGAGGGAGAGAGAGAGAGCGCTATGGTCTTTACAATTTGACAAGATTGGAGCATTCAGTAACTCCCCAGGCCCCTCCTACCGGTTCTGCCTCAACACCACAATTGCCCACAGCCCTATCACAGGGGGAGAGAAACATATCAGAGGAAGCAGCTTGTGCTGTGATCTTTATCCTTTGTCAGAAAGGCCTTATCTACTCTTTAATAGCTCGATAGGTCATAACCAGACCCTGTGCCCGTGCCAAACCAAAAACCCCTTTATATATCGTAGACTGTACAAACCAGACAGAGGAAATTGCTGTTTCTTCCTGGTTCCTACCTCCAGTTGTGTGAAGGGACTGGGGTAGAGGTCGGATGGTTTGCTGAGCTTCTCCAGTTTAGCTGGCTGGGGATGAGACAAAGTGAAGGGCCAG